AGTTTACTTTGTACTGTATTTAAATATCATCTTATCAGCTTCCTTTCACCTTTCGCTTTAAAAATTCACTGGCTTTTCATTGGTACTTCACTTTGTATGTACTTTGCAACACACTTCGTGACATTTCTCTAGTGAAAAATCTATCCCAAAATTATTTCAGATTTCCAAATGGAGAAAAAGAGGGACTCCTGTGGTCTGCCTTGCACTGAGTCACATGAGCATATAGTCTAAGAGCTGACTGCTTGCCTGTGGTTCATCTGGTATCCTAGGTTCCTTTGATTTTGTTTTCCTTTGACTTTGCCACTTGCTTCAAACTTTCCTACGTATATTAAAGGGAATAAAAAATGAATGAAATTAAATTCATAAATGAAATCCTAAGATGGTAGAAAAATTTCTTTTTGTTTTCTATTTTCTTTTCTATATTGACAGTTAAGCATAACCATTTGAAGCATACACTTCCTCCTTCCTTCATTAAATGTTAACTGAATCAGGTAAAAGGAATATATCCATAACAAGACTATCAATTATTAAAATATTTTTGTGTGATTTTTAAACCCCCTTAAAACTTAGGAGTTGATTCCGACTCAGCACAACCCATGGAACAGAGTGGAACTGTTCCCTAGGCTTTCTAAGGCTGCACATCCATACAGACGCAGACTGCCTGATTTTTCTCCTATAGCACGACTGGACTGGTGAGCTCTAAGTGCCAGCCTTTGGGCTAGTGACCCAACACTACCCGCTGTGCCACCAAGGCACCTCATTGTATGATTGTTGTTTGTTAATAAGTGCCCTGGAGTCAGTTTTAACTCATAGTGACCCAGATTAGGGTTTTCTGAGGAGCGGCTGGTGAATTTGAACCACTGACCTTGCAGTCCAGTGCTTATCCTACTGCGTCACACTAGGACTCCTCATTGAATGATATTGCTAGCAAAATACTGTAGCTAGAGTAATATTCATTTTTTCTATCTCTTGCAATAGGAATTTTTAGTACTGAAATAACACAAATGGATGACTTTAACAAACAAATTTATTTTCTCACAGTTTGAAGTCCAAATTCAGGCGACTGTCTCAAGAAGGCTTTCTTACTCTGGCAGTTCTGACGAAAGGGCCTTATCTCTTCAGCTTCTGTTCCTCAGTTCCTTGGCAGTCTTCACATGGCATGTGTCTCCCCTCCATCTGTACTTCTTCTTGTTGCCTAATCTGGTCTTTTTATATCTCAGAGTTGGTTGATTTAAGACGCACCCTACACTGACAGGACTCCTGGTGTGGAGCTGTAAAATCAGCACTGAACTGTGAACCATAAATCAGCAGTTCAAACCCACCAGCTGCTCCTTGGAAACCCTATACTAGGTCTCTGTGACATGGAACCTCCTCAACAGCACTTAACAATAGCTGATATGGTCTCATTAACATAACAAAGAAGTCTTATTCCCAATAGGATTATACCAATAGTTGTGGTCCTGAGCCCTGGAGTCAGTTCCAACTTGTTGGGACCCCGTGTAGGGTTTCCAAGACTGTAAATAAATCTTTATGGGAGCAGAAAGCCTCATCTTTTCTACCATGGAACAACTGGTAGTTTTGAACTGCTGACCTTGAGGTTAGCAGCCCAACATGTAACCACTGCGTTACCACAGCTCTTTACCCATAGGTATAGGAGTTTCAGATTTACAACACATATTTTGCAATGACATGCTTCAATCCATAATAGTCTGGAAACAAAACTTCATTTTTGAGCCCTGGGTGACAACTGTAGGAATAAACACTGGACTGCTACTGTAAGGTTGGCAGTTTAGACCCACCAGCAGCTTTCAGAAGCCCTATACAAGGTCTTTTCTAGTCAGAACCAACTCAACTGAACACAACAAACCTCACCCAAAGAGCATTTTGCTTTTAATCATAATCTCAAAATGTTTAAATGTGCAACTGTATAAACCATTGGGAACACAGTGGCTCCATAGAACAAGCACTTGACTGAGAACTACAGGGTTGGCGGTTTGAGCCCACCAGCTGTTTCTTGAGAGAAAAATGAGGTTTTTTACTCCCATAAAAGATTTAGAAAGCCTCTGAAATCCTATACACAGTCACTGTGGGTCAAAACTGACTCCACAGCACTTAACAACAACAATGTAAACTATGATAACAGAACTGCTAGAGTTGTTAGGTGCCATCGTGTCGATACCAACTCATAGCAATCTGATGCACAACGGAAGGAAACACTGCCCCGTCCTGAGCCAACCTCACAATTGTTGCCACACTTGAGCCCACTGATGCTGCCATATTGTCAGTCCATCTCGCTGGGGGTCTTCCTTTTTTTCTCTGACATGCCACCTTACCAAACCTGATTTCATTCTCCAGCGACTGGTCCCTCCTGACAATATGTCTGAAATATGAGAGAAGAAGTTTGACCCTCCTGGCCTCCAAGGAGCACTCTGGCTGCACTTCTTCAATACAGATCTGTTGGTTCTTTTGGCAGCTCGTGGCACTTTTCAATATTCACCACCCAACACCATAACTCAAATGCATCAATTCTCCTACAGTCTTCCTTATTCACTGTCCAACTTTTGCATATATATTTCAGGTTATTGAAAATACCATGGCTTGTGTTGGGTGCACCTGAGTCCTCAAGCTAACATCTTTGCTCTTTAACACTTTTAAAAGTTCCTGTGCAGCACATTTGCCAAATGCAATACGTCTTTTGATTTCTCAACTGCTGCTTCTATTAGTGTTGATAGTTAATCTAAGAAGAATGAATTCCTTGACAACTTTAATCTTATCTCCATTGATCAGAATGTTGTTTATTGGTCCAGTAGTAAGGATTTTTGTTTTCTTTACATTGAGATGCAATCAGTAAGTATTTTAAGTCCTCTTCATTTTCAGCAAGCAAGGTTCTTTCATCTGCATAGTAAACCATGTGGTTGTTGTTGTTGTCAGGTGCCAT